TCTCCTGCCCTAGGTTCCCAAAATGTTAGGCTGATTCAGGTTAACATCTTTGGGCATCTTTCCGATCTTTTCATCTGTGAATCTCTTCTTTTTCCCCTAAGGACTTTGGTAAAGTGAAGGATGAGTTATCATGGGCTGTTAAACTAGGCCCTGATTGTTAAGGTGGCCTTCTCTTCTCATCTTTTTGCGCTTGCTTTTTCTTCTGCATATGTGACCCCTTAACTCCTCACTCTCGTTCTTGCTTACCCAGTCAAGGCATCTTTGATGTTTAACATTTGCGTAAATTTTTGTAAAAGTATCTGCCGCTGGTCATGATAGAAGTGGTTAGAAGGCTTACCATTTCTGGGTCGTGATTCAACTGTTGTAATGCTAGGGAAGTGACAGACAAGATGTCTTGCAGCTATTTGCAAGAGGCACATATTGTGATTACCATTTTATGTTTACAGGGTATTAACAACTAAACAAATACACATTACCTGGTGGAAATCGTCGACTGTTACCTGATTGTTGTTCTATATATCAGCATAGGGATGACAAGCGGGGCAGGTTTTCTCTTAAACCGCAAAATTGTAACCCGCCCTGCCCTGCCTTAGTGTTTTTTTTTTTCCTTTTTCTTTTGTTAGTTTTAATTATTTTTAATCTTGGCTGGAATTTTTTTTACACTTTACTATATGTACTCGTGTTTTTTTAAAAAGTTCTAAAGACCTGCCTGGACGATAATTTGGCCTCATCAAGGAGCTTATCCCCGTGCTATCTGTTAAGAAAACTAAAGAAAAAATTGATATACGCATACACGTATCATGATAGCACTTAAATTGTTATTGCCTTTGAATAAAGTGCTCTTTCAATAAAACATAGAACAATACATGAAATTTTGGCCTATGGTTTGATAACGCCGATAAAAACATGATCATTCGTCATGTTGATAAAGTTAGTTGGCACCTGCTCAGAAGATCTTCCAACCTCAAAGGATTCTGGCAATGCTAGTTAATGTAGAAATTAAATCTTGCACATATGGAAAAAAAAAGTTAGTTAACAAAAATCTTTGATATCATAATACCTCTTTTTTTTTCTTTTTTTTTTAACTTTTTATATTTGATAAAAGTATATATTTTACGTGGAATCAATTTCATATTTAGAAAGTTAGAAAATTGAGTTTTCTTCTTTGATGAAGTTTTTAAACCCACACCGCACCCGCATAAATTTTAATTTTTTTCCTTTTACCCCGCCTCGCAACCGCATATGTTTAAACCCGCCACGCCCAGAATGTGTCTAAACCCACACCGCACTCGCATAAATTTTAATTTTTTTTCCTTTTGCCCCGCCCCGCAATCGCATATGTTTAAACCCGCCACGCCCCGAATGTGTCTAAACCAACATTGCTCCGCACTCGCACCACCCCATTACCATCCTATAATAATCAGCATCTTATCATTAATCTCTTCAGCAATAGTATCGTGCGCGAGTTTACGTTTTTATTGTGTCTGGGTCATGAAAGTGCAGTTTCAAGTATAGGTGTTAAACGGGCCGGGTTGTTCCGGTTCCGGACCGGCCCAGACCGGTTAAACCCGGAACCGGCCCGGACCGGTTAAAGGGGGCTAGGCTGGGCTGGGTAGTAGGGGTAGAGGGGGTTGGTCCGTTTAGAATTTTAAAACGGGTAACTGGACCGGTTGAACCCGGTCCAATGAACGTTACCCTTACCGGGTTAACCGGCCCGGTACAACGGCTAGAATTTTTTTTTGTTTTTTTTTTTAATTTTCGAAATAGGTGGGCCCCACTGACCGTTGGCAGACCTTGAATTGGTCCGTTGGCTAACGGAAAAATTGCACAAATAGCCTTTTTTAAATTTTTAATCATTTTTCAATTTACAAAACTAACCTTCTCTAAAACTATAAATACCCTCCCCCCTCTTCTTCATTTCTTCACTCAGTACTCATTTCTCAATCTCAATTTCTCTCATTCTCTCATTCTCCAATTTGCAAGACTTCAAGTCTTCAATTCATCTTCTAATTTTATTTGGCTCTCTTTTCTTGAATTTAATTTATCGTGTTTTATCATTCGGAATTTGAAGTTTGAACAATTGAAGTTCAAAATTGAAATACTTGCTTGACGTTTGTTCGTGGTAACATCGGAATTGCGTAATCAAGTGCTCAATTTATTGTCGAATTCGGTGCACTCCCTCCAACTCTTTCTCTTATTTACTATTTAATTGCATATTTAATTTTAGCTTATACTTTAATTTTTACAATATGTTTAATATTACTAAAAGAGCGTATAAAAGAGTTACTGGTAGGGGAAATAAAAAAAGAGGTAGTCCTTCAGCGTCTGGTAGTAGTAATAATAACCCATTATCATTTTCATATGTTTCCGAAACATCGCCTAATGATAATATAGATATAGATTATGAACAATTACAAGAAGATTTTGGAATAGAAGATAATGAAATAAGAATGGAAGATGAGATATCAGCTACACCTACTAGTGTTGGAGCTGGTAGTGTTGGAGTTGCTACAGGGGGTGGTGGTCGTGGCACTAGTAGTAGACCACTTGTGGCTCCGACTACTAATCGTAGAAAAAGAAGTAAGGTTTGGAATTTTTTTGAAATAATAGAAGGTACTGATAGAGTTAAATGCAAAATTTGTAAATGTAATTTTAAACATTTGATTGGAGGAAATTTAGGGAGGACTGGGACGCTTAGTAGACATATGAGAACTGAGCATCCCATAGAATGGGGCGCTGATGGTGATGGAAATCAAACAACTATTAACCCTACTACTGGAGGTCTAGTGAAATATGATAAAATGAAGGATCGTGAGGAGTTAGCAAAAATGATTGCTTTGGGTTGTCTACCTTTTTCTTTTGCTTCTTCATCATATCTTATTATGTATATTCAAAGGATTTACAATCCTTTATTTAAAGGTATCCCTAGAAGTACTTGTAGAGCTGATATCTTTAGACTTCATGGACAATATCAAACATATATACGTTATTTGTTTAGTCACCTTCCTTGTAGAGTTTCTCTAACTTCTGATATTGGCCATGTTAATGGAAATGATTAGTTGACAATTACATGTCATTGGATAGATGATACTACTTGTATGCAAAAATGTATTATCGCTTTTAGATATGATGAAGATCAGAGTCATACTGCTGCGTTTATAAGTAGTACTATTTGTAAAGTTGTTGAATTTTATAATCTAAAGCAAAAAGTATTGTGTATGTCTTTTGATAATGCTTCTAACAATAATGCCGCAATTTCAATATTAAAACTGCATTTGCAACCACCT